ATCGGACTGTTGACGCTTAAAATCATAGCATCACCTCCTTCCTCGGTCACGTTGGCAGATTCCTGTGCGCCGGTATTTTTCTTTGGTGCTCGGCACTCCCTCTTGAAATGAACCTTCTTGCTACAATTGTAGCACTTGAAGTCTTTCTTTCCTGATCTAGATTTGCTCCTTCTAGATTTTGATCTACCATGATTTGAACTTCTTTCTGAAGTTCTTCCCCTAGACTCCGTGTGTAAAGCTGAGGAGGTTGAAGCTTCACCTGATTCTCTCCACCGAATTTCTTCACTAAGAACCAGATCACGAACGTCATCGAACTTTAACTTGTTGCTTCCCGATGAGCTACTCACAGTCGTGACTGTAGCGTTCCAGCTTTCTGGTAGGGAAGACAAAAAAATCAACGCTCGAACTTCCTCATCAAACTCAATCCCAACTGAACTCAACTGGGTTGTGACTATATTGAGTTCATTGAGATGTTGAGCTACCAATGCGCTTTCTATCATCCGCAAATTGAACAGCCGCCTCATTAAGTGAACATTGTTTGAGGCAGATGGCTTCTCATACATACTGCAGAGAGCCGCCATAAGACCCGCCGTGGTCTTTTCCTTTGCTATGTTAAAAGCAACATTGCTAGATAACGTCAATCGGATAACTCCAAGGGCTTGTCTGTCGAGAAGAGCCCACTCTTCATCCTTCTTATCATCTGGCTTACTTCCTGAGAGAGGTTGATACAGCTTCTTCTGGTACAGATAATCTTCGATCTGCATCTTCCAAAAGCCAAAGTCCGCACCATCGAACTTTTTAATTTTCACCTTCCCTTCATCTGCAGCCATCGCTCCCACTCGAATCTGACTTCCTCTGGATCGTTTCTGACAATTTCTGCGAACCACCGTTTATTAAAACACCTCTGTCGACAAGTCGATATCGCCGGCAAAATTTCACTATTCACGAAATTTACTATTCATGTGAATAGTAATCTCGCAGAAATTTGACAGGCGTCACAACCAGAGCTCTGATATCAGTTGTTGGGAGATTACTCAGATTTCCCTATTTCCAGACTTAAGAGGAAGCGAAATAAATGCGCAAAATGGGGGACACGCAAGATTTACGTGGTTCGGCACAAAATTACCTACGTCCACGGGCTGCTGCAGATCTTTCACTATGAAGAGATTTACGTGGTTCGGCACAAAATTACCTACGTCCACGGGCTGCTGCAGATCTTTCACTATGAAGAGAAATTTTACAACACTCTCAATTTTCTCACAACTCAATCCCACTCTGAAAATTACTCACAATTTTCTCTCACAAAGACTTTTCTCTAAGCCTCTCTTTTCTCTCTCTTGCTCTTCTATAAGAGGAGTTGTTTCTGGTATGAGGATTCTTTAAGAGTTTGGGAGCCTATTTATAGTGTTTGGGAGAACACTGTGCATCAATAAAAAAATATTATTTCCTGTAGTGGAGCCCGCGGTGGGGCCCACTCACCTTCTTTGTCAACAAAACAGCCTCCCATTTCTTTGGCTGTTTCTTTGCTCCACCGAAAGTTCCTCAACCTTTTTGACTAACAAAACAACCCCCCTCTTCTGTCAATTTTAGCTGCCACCTTCTGGTGGCCGAAATATTTGACCAACACCTATTAGCCTATTAGCCGTTCCATCCCCCCACCCACCCACGCACCGACCACCACTCTCTCTCAATGTATATATATATTTTGTAAGATGCAACGACTTAAAAAAAAAAAGAAAAGAAAATCAACGTAACAGCATAGCATATTAATATAGCAACTTACCTGCAGCCTGAGGGATTCGAGAACCTTGTCATCTTTCTTGTAGGTGCCAACCCGAATGAGTTGGAGCTCGACTTTCTTTTCGAAGAGACATGTCAATACTCTCGAAACTCGGTTGAAACAGTAAATCCAAATGCCTTAAAGACTCATCTTCTATATCTCTCATGATCTTTTTGTTTTGATTCACACTTAAGCTTGTAAGCACACATTGAAGGTTGAAGGCCAAGTGACTCTTCGGCAAAATAATACTTTGCTCAGTGAAGAAGATTATGTCGGCGCACACCTACCGAAACACTATGCCAATTATTATTCACCAAGCGGCAATCTATAAGAAAGTGTTGTGTGCTTACAGACTTAAGTGTGTGTGTGTGAATGAAAACAATACCAAGTGAGAGATTAAAAATGAGTCTTTAAGGTATTTGGATTTCCTGTCTCAACCAATGTTTCAAGAGTATTGACATGTCTCTTCGAAAAGGAAGTCGAGTTCCGACTCATATTACAACATATATATATATCATATAGTGTCAATTACCCACAAAAAAACACTACTGTCAATTATGCAAATGGATCTCTCGAAACTGGCTGACTCTGACTCCTTGAGCACCATATCAGATACTCTGTCCTATCAAGTTCATCTTAATTTAGGCCGTGTATCATAATTTCATTGCAGAATCTCGGGCGGTATGTCTATACTTACGCGACAAATACTCCGACCAAGGCGACAAATCTCTCCTGTGAACAGAAGAAGACGGCTCGTTAGAGCGCGCCGCAGCATAGAACAACGGTTAGAAGTCAGAATCTCTAAAACTTCGACCCTCCAACTAGCCTCCGCACCAAGGCCGGGCCTTAAGCAAAACTATCTCCAAAGTGCTCGATGCTGCTTGTGAGCAGATAGCAGGAGAGAGCAGGTTTCTTGCAGGAGACGAGTCCACTCTCGCGGACTCATCTCACTTGCCGAATACAAGCTAATCTTGCGAATTCACGTCGAGGAAGGTTGTCGACGGGCAGGAGGCCAGTCCTATTTTGTGCTGGTGCTTTTGTTTACTTTTCGGGCTTGGGAGTATGACGAACTGATGTTGAGAAACGATGAAATCTGTTTTATTTTGAGGCGGATAAATTTAGAAACTTTGAACAACTACTGATTTCTTTAGGTTTTCTGATATCGGCCTCTCTAATCTATTCCTGTTTTATTTTCAAAGAAATATTTCTGTAGCATATGCGGATACTACAACATTAGTACAAATATTACTGTAGCATTTGAAAAAATATATATATTACTGTAGTGGAGGTGGGATAATGTAATGTAGCGTTTTTTAAAAATATATATTGATGTAACATTTAAAAATATACTGTAGCGATTAAACGGGATAACTGTAGCGATAAAAAAAAAGAGAAGGCCGTCCTTCGCACGGGGCGTACACTAGTTATGCTTAATTAGAAAAAATATATCAAAAAATGAAATCTGTGAATACAGTGCTGCGTATATAATTGATCTCCATCATATATATAGTTGTTCAAATAGCTCATTTTCCTTTTGTTCTGACCATTTAGCTTGTTGGCTGGTGTTAAATTGACAATAGCCTAAGATCGTTCTCACTGTTAATGCAGAAATTCTATTAAAATGTTCCGTCGGAGAGAAGGCTGAAGCATTGTGAATCTTTTTTATAGTGTAAATTACCATGATTTTTACTATAATTGATTTTTGTTAATAAGGGATGGAGATCTGTCACCAAAATGTTGAGGTAACTATATTGTGATACCGTCTCAAACAGTCCCCACATATTTGACAGATGTGGAGACTCAGATGGGTTTAAATCTGGGCCTCCAATGATTCCGCTGATGGTCGGTATCCTCCTCCTCCTACTATTCTGCACACTGCACATTGAACAGTTCATTGGGCGGCATCGGAATTGTCCTCGGTTGGGGGTTTCAGTGCGAGTAAAGAAACCATTAAATGCGCCTAAAATTCTATAGCAAAAGTTAGGTTGGAGAAAGCTACCACTGTTTATTCCTTTTATCGTCCTCTAACCATTAAACCAAAACTCCGAAGTTATGGTGAGGATTAAGGATTATAGTTTTATGTTAATTCTAACATGCCACCGCAGGTCGAGCGCCCTTTATTATGGGTCGAAACCTGGACTCACGTAACGGTGTCAATTTTTAGAAAATCGACATTTAATTCGTGGTCGGTGGGATTTGAACATGGGTTGCTCTGATACCATCTTAAATTTAGTTTCTCTAACTATTACACCATAACTCCAGAGATTTGGTGTAATGGTTAGAGAAACTAAATTTAAGATTATGGCCTCTAGTGCAACTTCACCAGAAGGATCCCGCAACATTGGCATTGTAAGAACTAACGCTTAAAAAATCAGTGTAACAACATAGCATATTGATATACAGAGACATACCTGAGGAATTCAGGAACCTTGTCATCTTTCTTGAAAGTGCCACCCTGAATGAGCTGGAACTCGACTTCCTTTTTGAAGAGGCATGTAAATACTCTTGAAACATCGGTTGAGGTGGGCAATCCAAATACCTTAAGGCTGAGTAAAAGCTTTGGAATGAAATGGTTTCTTGACGTTGAAGGATTACAAGGACAAAGGGAAAAGATGGTAACTACAGGGAGGAAGTTTAACCTTTTGAGAGTATGACACTTTGCTCAGTTATGAAGGAAGGTTAAAGAGAGAAAATTTTGTTTTGTTTTTGTTTTTTTTTTCATATCCTTTAACTAGAATCATTTACTGCATACATTTTCAGACATGGATAACTTTAGGAAAAATTTACTAACAACACCCCAATAAAATGGTATATGGATACAAGTTGGATATAGATAATACCCATATCTGATGTAAATGCATATAGATATGTAAACCAAATATAAACAAATCTGCCAAAACACACATACAAAAATAACTGATAGTTTTATTTCGAAACAAACTGTGGAATATTGTTAATATCTCACTACTACAATACAGCAGCAGCAGTAGTAGTAATAATAATATACAATAAAAGAAAAGGTGTAAATGTTTCAATCTTCTCTCAATCAAAATATTTCAGTTAAATTTCTACATTAACAGTGAGAACTAGTCACATAGGTTCAGTTAGACTTTTTTTTTGTCAGTTGAACTCCAACCATTTGGAAAAAATGGTCAGAACAAAACGCAGGAGTTACAAGAACTATAACATCAATCCTGTACAACATTACATTCACAAGTCATAATTTTCAAGATTTTCCTTCAAATTCAGCATAAATAGAGATACCAATATCAGAAAAAAAAAACCAGACAATAGGAAAGCTGATTCTTTTTAGGTCAATTGCAGATAGACTCCTTGTAGTATATAGCCCAATTGCGGATATACCCCTTGTACTAGGTGCCCAAGTACAGATAGACCCCTCGAGTAAATTCTTTTTACTCTTAAAAGAGTCAAAATACTAAAATCTAGCAGGAGATTTTGATCCTAAAATCTAAATAGCAAAAGCACACAAAGCACAGATACAGAAAGTAAAATCAAGAAGGCTGAGGAGCACCGGCCTTCTGCATCTCGACAACCTTCATCCAAGAATCCCTCTTCGAGATCTCCTCCCACCACCTCCCCACGTTTTCCCTCGACGTAATCAAACCCCCTCTATCAGTAGCATTCACAAGGTACTGCGTGTTCGGCAAGTGAGACAAGTCTGCAAGCGTGAACTCGTCCCCCGCAAGAAACCTGCTCTCTGCGAGCCTCTGCTCATAGACGTCCAGCACTTTGGATAGCTTGGCCTCGCTCTGCTCGATCAATGCCGGGTCCTGTTTGAGCCCCATTCTCGGCGCGAGCGCTAGCTGGAGTACTAAGGTCGAGCTTGGAGAGTTGTAGCTCTGGGACTCCGCTTCTAGCCATTGCTCTATGCTGTAGCGCTCCAATAGTCCGCCTTCTCTCGTTCCTATGAGCGATGCGTTGCCTTGGTCGGAATATTTGTCGCATATATATCGACATATGGCTCGGGACTCTGCAACCAAAACCAGGACTCAGTGAGATCTCAGTCATTTCATTCCACTTATTTGTTTTTTTTCATATTTGTGTAGCATTAATATTTACGGATGCAATGTGGATCTCTCTCGTACATTGTTAGTGAAACACAAGGTTGCCATCCACCATTTCCCTCAAACAAAAGTTAGGGAAGAAGGTAGCGAACACATTAATTCGAGGATTTGGATAGAATCCAAACGGATTGTGTGAGCTGGTTTTGTAGGAGTAGGTTGTTCCAGGTGATCTTTCTTCAGGCTGCATAATTGAAGGTAAATATATTCATACTATTTATTTTGGGAGACCCTTTGACAAGACATACCATGAGTCCAGACTTCAGCTCATGAAAAGTCTAGATTTCGGCCTATCAAAGAACTTAACATGTGCGGCCATGTTATAGTATAAGGGGGTGTTTGTTTCAAATCCTATAATTTTAGGGGTGTCTTTGACAAGACATACCAGCCTTCAGCCCATGAAAAGTCTAGATTTTGGCCCATCAAAAGACTTAACCTGTGGGGCCAAGTTATAGTATAAGGGGGTGTTAGTTTCAAATCCTATAATTTTAGGTCATGGATTTCATCATAGGATTTGAAATCCATAGGTGTTTTGTTATTGTTTGGGATTTCTAAAATGTTGCTTGCTTCATTAATATTTTAGGATTTGGAATACTACAATTTGTAATAGTTTGTTTGTTTCAAGCTCAAATTGTAACATTACTAAATGCCAAAATTTTATAATATGATGAATATGCTATCTTGATGAGTTACCTCCCACAAAAAACAAAGTTGGGATTTGTCAAATCCTTTCCAACTGAGAGGTAAATACACATATTTATAGAATTTGTCAAAATCCTCTCCAATTGAGAGGATTTGACAAATTCTAAAAATTAGGCACTTTTTGCACTTTTGGGATTCAATATTCTAATTTTTTTTTAAAACAAACACCATATATAGAATCCCAAAATACAAAAAAACTCACTTTTTACTCACAAAACTTGTAATCCGTACCAAATGTCAAAAAAAATTTATGAAACAAAAACCCCCTAAAATTACAGTTTCCATGAAGTGGCAGAGTCCTCCTACAAAGTTTGACGTGGGGTTCACATCTTTCTTTGAGCGTAAATCTTTGGCATACAAAATTCTTTGCAAACTTTCAATCAAAACAAATAGAAAACTACCGGTTAGCTCATCTCCAAGGAATCCCTTGGATGTCCCTTAATTTAGGGGGAACTTTAAAGGAGGGGTTGATTCTCCTCCAATGGTTCCCTCTTTAAAGTCCTCTACCCCTTAATTAATTATGTTTAGTTTTTTATTTTATAGATTAGGATTTAATTAAATATGTGGTTTTTTTATAAATCAATAAATAATTAAATATTAATAACTAAAAATAATTAATTAATTAATTAAAATTAAGAAATTACCTTATATAATTATTAAATTAATTAATCATATTAAAATTTAACAAATAATTAATTTATATAAATTATGTTAAAAGTTAAATATTATTTTAAATTTAAATTCATATTATTTTTATATTAATAAAAAATTATAATAAAAATTATAAGGGGTACATTTTAAAAAAATTAATCAAATTAAATTAACTATACATTAACTTAATTATATTATTTTAAATTAACTATACATTAACTAAATTTAACTAACTATAAATTAACTTTAAAATGAAATATATTAATATAGAATTATAAGGGGAAGGTTAAGGGACTTTAACCTTCCGCTTAATTTAGGGAGGAAGTTAACGGACTTGGGGGTGAAGAGGAAAAAATCTGGTCCCTTGGGGCCAAACCCCCTTAAATGTCCCCTAATTTAGCTAAGGGACCGGATTTTTCCAGCCCCTTAGAGATGCTCTTAGGATTTCGATTCTCGCAGAATTCTCCAGTTGAAATCCACTTTTTTTTTTTTGTGTGTGTGGAGGCATAAAGAGGGAAGTTAAACACAGAACGAAAAAAGAAGAAGAAAGAAAAGAAGAAAAAAAAACAAGGCTGGTTACCGACCGAAGAGGGTTATGCCACCGTCGCGAAACGCAGGAACTTGGCCAAAGGGCTGCAGCAAATTAAAAACAAAACTAAGGGGTCGAAATGAAATGTTGATGTACACATATGACAAAGGAAATTAGAGGAGGAGGCCGGGGTGCGTGCGTACGTACCTGGAGCTTGAGGAACTCCGGGGCTTTGTGCTGGCCCTTGGACATGTCCACCGGCGAGAGCTCGAACTCGACGTCTTTCTCCAGCAGGCAAGCGAGGACTCTCGAGACTGCTGTTGACAGGGGAGGACCAAACACTGTAACGCTCGCCATTGTTCCCTGCTGCTCTTGATCCCTGCAGAGATTATTTTCTCTTGCGATGCAAAGAAAAGAAATTGCAGCAGCTTGGCTTGCCCTTTATCTTTCGTTCGTTATCTCTTGAGGTGGTGGTGGGTGGTTGGAAACTATTGGAGGGGGGTTAAACAGCGAAAGTGTGGAGAGAGAGAGCAGGACTACTGTCAGAAAACCCTGACGATTATCAGTAAACCCCTTTAAAAGTTTATGGGTTATCAGAAAACTTCTTCCAACTTTAAGATTTTATCAGAAAATTCTGTTAAGCGAAAATTTACCCGCCCATGTGAAAATTCTTTTTGCAGTAAGTTCTGTTTAGGGGAGGTATTCTGATAAAATTTTAGAGTTGAAGGGGATTTCTTGCTAATCCCTAGAGTGATTTTCTATTACATAAATTTAAAGTTATGGGAGGTTAATTATCTGATAATGGTCCAAAATAAAGGTGGCGTTTTCTGATATTTAGCCTTGTATTTAACTGGCGCCCCTGTTTGGTTCCGGTTTTGGAAGGGGAAAGGAGGTGGAAAGCTGCCAAGATGTCAGCTTTTTAGCAGCTTTTTGGAAAGATGCGATTTTGGGGGAAAGCTGTCAAAAAGCTAACATTTTTGATAGCTTTCCTCCCTTTTACCGATCCAAAAAACCGATCCCTACAGCCCATTACCAATTTCTTTCGGGTGAATGTTACAGAATCCCCTAAGCTTTAGGGTGATTTGCAAAAGGATCATCCAGTTTAAAAATTAGAGAAAACTCCTCAAATTTTTGGGGAATTTCACAAAGAGGAGGGGTGTTAGGGACACACCCTTGGGCACACCACCAACCACACTCTCCCTCTATCTACAGTGCAGGGGCCCCACATGTGATTTTTTTTAAAAAAATCACATGTGGGGCCCCTGCACTGTAGATAGTGAGGGAGTGTGGTTGGTGGTGTGTACAAGGGTGTGCCCCTATCATTTCTTTTTCACAAAGTCTTCCTGAACTCTCAAAAATCTCTATACCCTAAAATAGCACTCTTTAAAAATACAATAAAATTCATAGAAACAAATGAATATCATTCTACTTTTTCGATAGAAAGAGATTGTACAGCAATGTAAATCGATAAATTTATTCAAACGTACATCTCTAATTACTTTTTTTAACCCACATATATTTTTAAGCCACTGCCTTCGAATGTGACAACAATTCTAGTAAGAAATAAGTTTTCTTTTTTTTTGTGGGGTAAGAAATAAGTTTTACAAAGAAGACTTTTCTATATATATAAAAAAAAGTTTTTAAGAGCTCCACATTTCAGATAATATGAGCAACTTTCTAATAATTTGCTTTCATATACTTTGTTCTTCAAAATATCAACTAAACAAACGGTCTTACTTTGAACCTGAAAGAAATGGATAAAAGATGAGGGTAAAAGTATCTAGGAAAAATGTCAGGGACTGGTTAAAATATAGCAAGTTCACTTTTGGTCCTCAGTCCCTTAAAACTTTATTATTTTGAAATTGATCCTCAAATAATTGACTTTGCTATTAGATCCCCCACCTCTTCTATATTGTGACACTTACTCTTGACTAAACAGAATAATTTGAAACTACTTACAAGAATTATCTCAAATCATTAAGCTTGAGAAAAGAAAAAGTGTCATTTCTTCAGATAGAGCTAACTCACCAAGCAAATATGTCACACATCTGACTGGTGCAAAAGGTCTGAGATTTGAAACTTCATCTAACTTGAGATCACCATTCTTGTTTGAAAAAGCTCACATCAAATACTTACCGTGATGAATATGAAGGCAAAAATGCATCGATATTTTTAGTGCGCATACATTGTCCAATGAAACTACACAAAAGAATTTGCAACACCCTGCAACCGAAACTTCTATACTCTCATTATTCACACCATAATCCTAAACTCTCAACTAAACTATAAAACCTGTATTTGCAAAAAGTCAAGAATGTTAATTAAAGAGAAAAGTGTGAGCCTGTAAGTATTAACTGCAAGTTCTCCAATTTGAAGGCATGCGTGTTGACTGGACAGAAGGCATCTCTCTAACATTAATATCGACAGGCAGCATTCTGTATTCAATGTCGAGTTCCTTCAACACTTTGATCATCTCTCTCATTATGAGCTCCCTTCTCTCCCACTTGAGGGTCATGTCCTGAAAATTAATACGATGTTGCATCCAGATAGATACCTTCAACCTGTTCATATCATCGACATCTTTGAGAACAACGGAAGGATTAGGGTACCAGTGTTCCTTCTTGCTTTCGATGTACCTGTGGAAATTGCGTCACAGTTCAAAGTACACTTAACTAAATGATATACAGATGACATTTTGAATCTATCAATTCCCACATTAAACTAGCAGAAGATCTGGAAGGGTTAATTGTGGATAAGCCCTCTATGGTTGTTGAAGATAGATCCCCTGAGTGATTATTTTTGGCTCTCATACCCTCAAGAGATCTATTTCTTATTAAAATAAAAAAAATCTCTTTCTCTGATGACAGTCAAAAAAGTTTCACTCAGAGCGTCTATCTGCAACAATAGAACTGCTGGGTGTCTATCCACAATTTGGTGGTAGTACAGAGGGTCTATTCACAACTAACCCGAATCTATAACTATGCACGTGTAGCAAAATAATACATATGAAACCATTGAATTACACCATATGTCAGGGAACAATCAGACCTTTCTGGAAGTTAAATGTAACCTAAACAAAGTTTGAGAACCAAATTAACCTAAAATTTGTACTATTGGGTTTTAGAATTTAGTTCCAACTTCTATTTAAGAAAAACCTGTAGAGTGTAGATGTTTGGTCTATGTCTGCTGGAGCCTGCTCGAGTACTCTTGTATACCCTCTCTCAAAACACCTTTAACATGAAAGGCGTGAAAATGATAATGTCAGGCAAAAAGGCTGTAGGAAATCACCTAGGTGAGAGTAGATCAAGCCAAAATATATAGTTTGAATCTGACATGCTTTAGTGGGCTAATTTTGGATCTTATTTTGTGTTAGGCATTCAATATCCAGCCCCATCCATTTGGCATGAATACTAAGCCTACACAGTTTACAAGCTGTGAAAGATAAATGGGTAAACTTTGGGGCCAAAGAATGTCTGTTTCTATATTTTAAGTAATTCGAAATCCCAAACCCTTGCAGTATGTAGGCACTGAAGGAACTGTGAAAAATCGTTGCGTTCTTTCCTCATTGTGTTGGTGCTGTTCATTGTTGTATGAATGAAAGATGCAAGAGTTATATGACGGAGAAGTCTTCTTAGATCATGTATCTGGTCTGACGTATGTTATAGTAAGCAACAATGATTGCTATATTCACAGCTTATGTAATTCAAAATATGTTGCATAAATTGCTAACAGCGATGATTACCTTAAATAATAGTTGAAATTGGACCTACACGCCTTAAACAAGCCATGTAATTCAATTTCTGTAATAATAGGGCAGATTTGAAATTTCTGTACTACGAGCAATACACATTTGGATGAAGATGTATGAAATGAACATGCAAGGATGTCAAGCAAAATAACATGTTGTACAAAAAAAAAAAATCTATTTTCCAGTAAGTTCACATCTCAGTCTCTTCCTTTTCTAAGCATTTGGCAACTTCAATTATTAAGTTTCTAATCATTTGAATGGTCATAGATTAAAGACGTTGGATGAAATCCCTTCAACTTTTTCTTTGATATTTGAAGACATTGAGATATAAAAAGAGGAGACTAGATTACCCTATAATTCTTTCTTTCATGATAGCAATCTTTTCCAGTGGAGTTGAAACATGAACACAGAAGTTGATGGAGTCGCACATATCTGGACTCCGATAATAGTTTCCAATAGGCAAGGTAGCTAGCACACTGTTTGGATATGTAATCTTCTGGTTGTCCCATCTTAAAAAGATCGTCGTCAGGATATTCATTTCCTCCACAAACATCTGAAAATTACATGAAACACTTCAGTAATTTATAGAAGGTGACCAAGAATGCTTCTATTGAACTGATCCATTTTCCCTCCCTTTTACCTGAACTCCGTCTATTTCACAACGATCACCAACGTCAAAGGGGTGCATAACAAATAAGAAAATAATATCCTCAAAGACCATCTTCAAAGTATTTCCAAACATAAACACAGCCACAAGGAGCTGAGATCCTAGTAAAACAAAGAAATGTGTGCTTGCAATGTCCAAAATAAGAAGCCAGATGGCAAGAACAATGAGGCCAACTACAACATTTGCCATTTGATGGAGCTTGTTTACAGCTGTTTTTGTATCATTTAGTGTCAAAGAAAGAGCTCTTCTCTCTTTGAATGCATTAACCTATTCAAAAAAAGATTATAGAAAAGAATGGAAAGGTGTTAGGAATGAACTGAAACTGAATACTATCTTCACTAAGTAATACAATCAAAATATTAGAAAATACAACGCAAAGGGACTCATACCACCCAGTTCTTCAGACACCTTCTGCTTACTCTATTGTTTTCATCTGCTCCTTCAAATAGGCTCATAGTCTTCCGAGCTTCGTCTTCCCTCATAAAGCGCATCAAATCTACAAAGTAGATGTACCTAAAAGCATGCAAGTCAATTACGTCACCAGTTGTTGAAAAATTTAGCCATAAGCACACATCAAGTTGACAACTGCGAAGCAGAAGCTTTAAACGAAGAGGGGAGGGGGGGGGCTGTATTAGCAACCCAATCGGCTTAGTAACGAGTAAAAATATGACTATTTTGTTGATATTTTGACATCGCATTTACAAAGTAGCCTATCAACTGATTTGTTGGTTTGGGCAGAATTTTTTTCTGGGTAGTTTTGCAAATATTGAGATTCATAACACCACATTATATGGGATAAAGGAGATCAACACTTACTTAGAACCAGGCCTAGCGACATTATTAAAGATTTTCCTAGCGGCAACCTTGGCCTCAAACTCGCTCTTAATCTGTATGGAAGATTCATCCCCTCCGTGCTCATGTTCTAATTGCTCGTCGAGAGTGGTCAATGTCCCATTCCTAACTATCTTCATCAATCTCTTCATATTCCATGCCGAAACATTCTTCTGATTAAGCTTATGTAGCTGGTCGATGGTGATCGCATCCTCCTGCCTACCGCTTTCCCTCTTGGATATCCCCCCCGAGAGCTTCATGCTTTTCCCGATTCCTAACTGTGTGCTCTTCCTCATTGCCGCGAGTCCATGGCCACTGCCTCCAATAAATCTTCCACTTCTAGTTCTCATAGTAGCGTTCCTTAAATCATTCGGAATCCTAGCGCCCGCATTCTGAAGCTTCTGAACCTCAGCAAACATCCTGTCCTCCTCTTCCCTACATTGTTGAATTTCTACCAGAGGAGGACCCGATAGAGTCCCTATAACATACTGATTGAACAGAGACTCTTGAATTCTCTCAAAGTAAGTACTGACATGAAAAGACGAGGCCAGAACCTTGACAAGCAAAGTTTTCACAAGCCACACAAGGGTTGTCAAAAGGAAGCAGATGATAATTTTGGTGACCTTGCGAAGGAACGAGCTGTTCGTTTCCCGTTCTACTTTCTTATCAAACATGTAATGCCAGGTTAGGAGCACAAGCCCGAGCCAGAGGCAATTTTGAACCGCATGTCGAACTCCATAGACGAAGTAGAGGACCTTCTTTCTCAAAAGAAAGTTTCTTTCGATGAAGAAGACCGCAACACGAATAATCCAGCCCGAGAGCAACCGACCACAGATCAAAGAGAGGATCATCACCTCCCACTTCCACAAATGCAGACTCCACACGGTTAGCCTCTCGAGCTTTGGAATTGTCAAGCTGCAGATGAGAGCGCCAAGAATTACCACCAAGCTCACAATTTCGAGAATCACCACGGCGTCGAACTTGACGTTCTTGTAGTCCTCTGGAAGATCCTCGTCAAGAAATGGGTCCTCCTCATCCTCGTCGAACTTCGAGAGAAGCCCGGACTTCAAAATCCCCGATTTCAGAATCCCTGACTTTTTCCTCAGCAACCCAGATTTCCTCTCATCGTCCTGATTCGCCGGGGGCGAGGCAGGAGGCGAAATCGTCGGC